ATCACTGCTTAGCCCCACCAGCTGCACGTTGTGGTTAAAAATCAACAGCAGACTCCAGCATTTCCGGTTCTGCACGTAAGGAGCTTGGAAGTCACCACTTCATCCCAACAACAAGTACAAAGCTGAACAGACTGAAAAATCAACAATTCTTCTTGGGTCCGTAAGAATTGGGAGGAGCAAACCACTGCCTCTAAGATTAGCGATACAGGCAGATACAGGGAGTCGTGTCTTACTTACCTAAAGGAGCAGAGACTCCCAAGCAAAACAATGGAGCAGACATAGTTTCTTCAGCCAGCGGTGCTGGGACAACTGGACATTCACATGTAAAAAAAAAAAAAAAAAAAGAATCTAGACACAGACCTTACACCCGGCATGGAAAATAACTCAAAATGGATGATAAACGTAAATGTAAAACACAAAACTATAAAACTGCCAGAAGATTACCTAGGAGAAAACCTCGATGACCTTGGGTATGCTGATGCCTTGTTAGATGCAACACCAAAGACACGATCCATGAAAAACATAATTGATATGCTGCACATCATTAAAATTAAAAACTTCGGTTCTGGGAAAGACAATATCAAGAGAATTAGAAAAACCACAGACTGGGAGAAAATATTTGCAAAAGATGCATCCGATAAAGAACTGTTATCCAAAATATACAAAAGACTCTTAAAACTCAACAATAAGAAAACAAACAACTGAATAAAATTTGGGCCAAAGACCTGAACAGACACCTCACCAAGGAATAGATACAGATGGCAAATAAGCCCTTGAAAAGGTGCTCCACATCATAGGTCATCAGGGAGATGGAAATGAAAGCAACAGTAAGATGCCACGACACACCTATCAGAGTGGCCAGAACCAGAGCACTGACACCACGCGATGCTGGCGAGAGGCTGGGGAGCAACAGGAACGCTCGTCGCTGCTGGGGGGGGCGCAATGGTGCAGCCACTCTGGAAGACAGTTCGGCAGCTCCTTACAAAACTAAACACACTCTTACCATAAAATCCAACAATCACACTCCTTGGTATTTACCCAAAGGAGCTGAAAATGTATAGCCTACACAGAAACCTGCAGTGGATGTTTAGAGCAGCTGTATTCATAATTGCCCAAACTTGGAAGCAACCAAGATGTCTTTCAGTAGGCAAATGGAAAAATAAACTGTGCTACACCCAGTTATAATCCAGAATATTATTCAGCACTAAAAAGAAATGAGCTGGGCTTCCCTGGTGGCGCAGTGGTTGAGAGTCCGCCTGCCGATGCAGGGGACACGGGTTCGTGCCCCGGTCCGGGAAGATCCCACATGCCGCCGCGGAGCGGCTGGGCCCGTGAGCCATGGCCGCTGACCCTGCGCGTCCGGAGCCTGTGCTCCGCAACGGGAGAGTTCGCAACAGTGAGACGCCCGTGTACTGCAGGAAAAAAAAAAAAAAAAGAAATGAGCTGTTAAGCCATGAAAAGACGTGGAGCACCCTTAAGTGCATACTACATACAAAGTGAAAGAAGCCGATCTGAAAAGGCTACGTACTGTATGATTCCAACTCTATGACATTCTGGAAAAGGCAGAACTATGGAGACATAAAAACATCAGTGGTCTCCAAGGGAGGGAGATGAACAGGCAGAGTGCAGAGGATTTCGAGGGCAGAGAAAACGATGGGTACGTGCCATTGTACGTTTGTCCAAGCTCATAGAATGTACAACACCAAGAGTGAACCTTGCGGTTAAACTATGATGATTATGATGTATCAGTGTTACCAAGGTTCACCCTTGGTAACATACAGCATCTGGTGGGAGATGTCGAAGATGGGGAGGGCTGTGCACATGTGGGGTGGGAAGTATGTGAGAACTTCGCTTTTGTAGTAAACCCAAACCTGCTCTAAAAAATGTCCTTAAAGCAGGTTTGGGTTTACTACAAAACTGAAGTTCTCACACCCTGGTGGCGCAGTGGTTAAGAATCCACCTGCCAATGCAGGAGACACGGGTTCGAGCCCTGGTCTGGGAAGATCCCACATGCCGGGGAGCAGTTAAGCCCGTGTGCCACGACCTCTGAGCCTGAGCTCTAGAGCCCACAAACCACAACTACTGAGCCCGCGAGCCACAACTGCTGAGGCCTGCGTGCCACAACTGCTGAGCCTGAGCTCTAGAGCCTATGAGCCATAACTGCTGGGCCCATGAGCCACAACTACTGAAGCCTGTGCACCACAACTACTGATCCTGCGAGCCACAACTGCTGAAGCCTGCGCGCCTAGAGCCCGTGCTCCGCAACATGAGAAGCCCACACACCGCAATGAAGACCCAATGCAGCCAAAAATAAATAAATAATAAATAAATTTAAAAATGTTCTTTTAAAAAGTAAAATAAACAGGGTCAGTAGAATAAGTAATTCTTAAGAGCTTCTGTCTCAAATTAAAATTTTTGAACCTCTAGTAATATCTGTCCTTTCTTTTCCCACAATTTCACTCATATGTTGTTCATAATCTTAACTCTTAACTATGGGATTTTGGCTCCCTGTTCGGTAAAGTATTTCATTGAACTTAGCCAAAGCCAGACTCGGAGCGGCCTGGGAATAGTTAGGAGTCTTCCCTTCTTCCCAGTACATTGAGAGGCTTTGTATGGTTTTGTTTTTGTTTGTTTCTTTTTAAGGCAGGGAGGAGTTGTCCTGACTCTCCCCATGGTAGTTAGGTTACGGCATTGTCTCCTAAGTGGAAGCTGTGATTTGCCCATGGCTTTGAAGTAGTAACCTCATAAATGTCCCATCTCTGGAATCCAGTCTATTTCAGCATCCACAGGCCTAATTTCTGCTTGTAATCTGATTACGGGGTTTGAGCTCTTCTAGCCTGCAGTCTCTTGCTTTGCGTTTACTATACTGTCAAGGACACCAGTGCCTGATTGCTGTAGCCCTGCGCTGGGAAAAGCTCAACCTAGTTTTGCTCAGACAGGCCGCAGGCCGTGGCTGGTTGAGAATTAGCTGTGGAGCAGGCTCTGTCCCTGAACTTTCTGTGTGCAACCATGTTCAGAAGCCCAGGGATTTCTAGCTACTTGGGAGCTTTCAAGTTCTCTGAGAAACAAGGTAAGGCAAGAGAAATGCAAAATGCACTGAAGTGTCTATTTCATAACGTCGGGAACGTCTTGCATTCTCCATCTTATCTTGGATGCCCCTGTTGCACGGTTCTGTGGTTTTCTCAAAGGATACCTTAAATGTCTCATTGACTTTATAAGTTAGCTTATCTTGTGATTGCTGAGAAACATGACTTTTTTTTTTTTCTGTTGTAAGTTAAAGATATTGCTAAACCACTAAAGCCTTTATGGAGGAAACACTGCAGATTAAATTGGAATGCCCAAACTTTGGATTAAGTTCTGGATGTGCTGTACTTTCGCTAAAATATTTTTCTAAACCAAATGTTATATCTACTAAATTATTTCCAGTAGGCAGTTGTCTTTTTACGAAATCTTCATGGGAGACTGTTTGGAACAAAATGTTGTCTTTTTAGTGGCTTCCTTTTGAGCCCAGAGGAAGAGATGTGCTTTCAGTGTAACTACTGAAGTGACAGCTCAGATTCAGTTCACTGATTGAACCAAAAGGAGATGCTTAGGTTATCTTGAATGACACATTGGAAATTCAGCCATTGTCTACAAAAGCATTTTCTAGCCCAAATGCACGATTAGGAGGTTATTTGAACAGTTGAGGCATCAGATTCAGGAATTTTCTTCTACAGTATTTGATAGCTTTTTTTTTTTTACATCTTTATTGGAGTATAATTGCTTCACAGTGCTGTGCTAGTTTCTGTTGTACAGCAAAGTGAATCAGTGCTGTGCTAGTTTCTGTTGTACAGCAAAGTGAATCAGTTATACACATAGACATGTCCCCATATCCCCTTCCTCTTGAACCTCCCTCCACCCCTCTAGGTCGACACAAAGCACCAAGCTGATCTCCCTGTGCTTTGATAGCTTTTCGAACTGAGTTCTCTTTTTCTAAATGCGACACAAAGATATTTGTGTAATTAGCAGAAAAGCCTAGATGTTTAACTGGCAATATACGTTTCATTTTATTGTATTTCTCTAGTTGGTCGGAATTTCCAAATTCCGGGATTCAGGGTGTATTTTAATGACTAATGACATGTCGGCATCTGGTATATCTTGTACCTCCTTTTCCTCAAGCTTCTGCCCCCAAATATTAAACAGTAAAAGGAATTTCCACGGGGGAAAGAATTTCTGTAAGTGGTCTAATTGTGGTTTTCTGGGTGGACAAACGGTTGCTATATGCCAAAACTTGTAAAACAGATTACTTACCCAAGGCTGGCTGTACATTTGTCTGTGCCTGGTTTTCATTAACCAGCTCACTCAATGTGTGTTTTTGCTGGATGGGATTGTTACCAGCTGTCTTTACATAATATATGTCTTGTCTTCAAAAATAAATAAGTGGCGAATTCGATGTATTGTTATTATTTAGATCTTAATGAAGGCAATAAAAACACACCTGAAGTGCTCCCGCCCCCCGTTCATCAACCCCTCACGTGCCCGCCCCCCACCATGCATTCTTTAAAAGCATCTCAAATAGATCAGGCAGTGATGACTTTCAACCTTCCTGGTTACCTGGACCAAAATTGTTCAATTTTTTTCGCTCCTTTTTTTTTTTTTCCCTGAGGATAATATCCATGTTTTTCAGTATTTAATTGCTTTGAGTTACTCTTGTAGCCATAGAGAATTTAAATGATAGCATTGAACTATGCCAGAATTTTTTTTTTTTTTTAACCCATGGAGTATCTTGGCTACTATTAACCAAAACCAAAACCAAAAAAACTTGCCTAAGTAAAATGTATGTGGTGGAATTTGATTCATAAAGGTGTCCTTTTTGTATTCATATTTCTGGTTCATGGTTTCCTTTTTCTTAAATGCTCTCAAAGGGAGGCTGAAGAATTTTTTTTCCCATTGGAGTGTTTTCTTTTGGTCTTAACTGACTGTGTGGGTATTTCAATCTTGTATTATTTCTTTCCCCTTAGATTTGAACAAGAAAAACTTAAGCCTTGCTGGATTCCCGCGTCAAAGAATAGCTCCAAGGTAAAGTAGTCTTTGCTCAAGGAATCTTAAGTTTTGAAGATTTGTAAGAGCTTTTGGAATTATTCTCCTACATTCCTAATTCATGAGTTTTAAATGTTTGGAAAAAAAAATGTTTTTTTCCCCAGAGTTTGACTCGTTAAAACATGCGAAGCGAGCTGACTTAGTGCACTCGGCTAGCAAAGATTCTTTTTGTGTTTAATGCTTTTTATGGGAACTGTTTGCAAAACCGGCTATTGGTATCTCTATAATTACAAACTTGTCAAGGGCTATTATCTTTTCTGTCTCACACCTGCCTCTAAGCATGGGATGTCCTTTTCGCAGTCTATCCCTCGAGTAAGGGAGCTCTTCATTTTTTAAGAAAGGATCCAGCCTGTTCCTCCTCTCTCTCTCCCTTCCTTCTGCCCTTTCTTCTCCCCTTACTTCTCTCCCTCCACCCATCCACCCAACTCCCCTGTCCAGGTGAGTTCTTGCTGCCTGGTCTCTTAACCTTTCTGCACTTCAATTCCATTGGCTGCAGGATGTTATGGGTGCTAATCTGATTTACCTGATGCAGTACGTCATAACTGATATGAGATAATACAAAAATTAAAGTTTGTACCAAACAAGGCAGCTGTATCTCAGGTGCCTCCTAGTACATCGCTGTCCCTAACAGGTTTTGAGATTTTCAAGCAGAGGCACAAAATAATTATCTCTTACACAGCCAGGTGTGGCTTTCAACATACACTTGATTATGCTAGAAGGACCCAACCCAGATCTACCCCTCATTCCACACGGATGTGCTTGTTCCTAATGTGTTACGTAAGACATCGTTTCTTTACTTAAAAAGTCTGTATTTCAGTAGCATCGGGATAAACAGTTGTGTCACCACTGTCCTCGTCAGGCTGAGCCTGGCTCTGCATTTGAAAATGTTAGCATTGGCCTTGTGAACGCACTGGACGGGGTAAAGCTTTGATGAATTGCGTGCACATCTTAGCGTCAGGTGGGGAGGCAGAGTTATCAGTAAGGTTGTCTTACTTGACTCATGAAATCTCACTCTTGTGGTGCTTGACACAATCTCCCGTATTTCTCATCTTCTCCATCTTTTTAATAGAAGCTAAGGCTTATGTCTTAGTTCGTCCAGGCTACCATTGACTGGGTGGCTGATAAACAATAGAAATTTATTTCTCACATCCAGAGGCTGGAAGTCCAAGACCAGGGTGCACCGTGGTGGGGTGAGGGTCCTCTTCCTGGTTGCCCACTGCTGATTTCTTATATCTGCTCTTAGTGGAATGGGCCAGGGAGCTCTCTGGTTTTCTTTTTATAAGGGCGCTAATCTCTTTCATGAGGGCTCCACCGTCATGACCTAATCACCTTCCAAAGGCCCCACCTCCTAATACTATCACCTTTGGGTGTCAGGATTTCAACCTATGGATTTGGGGGAACACAAACATTCAGACCACAGCAGCTTCATTCCCGATACGTCCCTAGCAGGTTAGTTTAGCTGTAATAGACCTAATAAGTGACTAAGAGAATGGAACAACAGCAAGGGAGTTGGGAAGGAGAAGTATGAACTATGAATGCAGGTCAGTCACTTCAGTGGAGAGGGACTCAGAGGACACAGCCGTTCTAAAATGGTGTTATTTCACGTGTACCTATTAAAACAGTGGCCCCCTTGCTATGCTCCTAAGTGTAAACTGGGCTGGAAATACCTGCCTCCTTCAAAGAAATCTAGTCACCCAGACACCAGAGGTGAGAATATGAGGTAATGGATTTCATCTATCTTGTAACTTAAACTGCAATAGAAGAGTGAGCAGATGTCGGGGAGCCCTTCACTGTGTGGATACTGAACAGTTACTGTAATACTGTATCCCACATTGTGTAAAAGATAGGAGGTAATGACAGCAGAATATCCTGCTCTCACTTTAATAAAATTTCCCCTTGTTGCTATTGCTGGGCATTTAAGTAGGTTAATGGGACACATTAAAAAAAAATTATCATGGAAGCAAAGGGCAAGCTCTTTTTAGATTACTGAAGCAGACGGAAAGAGCTAGAAGCATGAAAATAATTAGTCATGAAGAGTGAGCTCCATTTCAGAGGAGATGAAGGTAACTAAGACATATTAAAGGTGTTTCTTCATACTAGAAGCTTTTTAAATTATAATTCCAAAAAATGAAGACTGTAGCATGTCTTCATTATATATGGAGAGATAGTTTCATGCTGAAATAAAGGATCCCACCTGGAGCTGTGGCAACCCACCAAGACCCACAGAGGTTGTCCAGGCAGAGACCCCTGGTCCCCGGGTGGGTGACGATGAGGAAGAAAGCAACCCAGCATCCGAAGCTTAGGTTTGGAGTCGCCAGTTGTGTGAGCTGAGGATGGGCCCCACCAGTGAGGCTGCTCTGGGTGCCTCTGATTCAGAAAAGCAAGAGGACTTGCTGTTAGGACTTTGGGGTAGGGGCGGCCTTTGTAAGTGTCTCACCGGCCGTGGTGATCAGAAGGGGTGACTCATTCATGAAGAGTCCATACTTCTTTACCAGCGTGTCTTGCAAGCATTTTCACTGCTGCCTCATACCCTCAGGCGTCGAAAGTCCAGGGCAGAGACGTGACCTTTTTCAAAACCTGGTTCCACGTCGATTTGGGGGATCTTGTGTCAGTCACAGCTCTGTGACAATCCCAAGTCAGGGTCATTGGTTCCGACCCATCCTCCTTATTCGTTCGACCTGCTCATCTACTTCCTCAGAAGTTAGCAGCCGTTTGGTGAACACAGGAGAGAGAGGCAGTAGAAGCAAGAACAAAATGTGACGATGACATGTGGATTCCAATAAGAAAAGTTTAGCTCGAAGATGGAGACTTGAAAAATGGAATACTTCATACGCAGGCAAACATACACATATTTTCATACGTGCATGCCAGGTGGGCAAAGGTAATAAGGAGAGATGCTTTCCCAATTATATGTTATTCTAAAGAAGAATGGAGGAGAGGAAGAAAGGAAGGAAGGGAGGGAGAAAGCAAGCTTATAACTGATGTGATTGAATACGTGCCCTTCTAATTAGTCTCAGTATTTGTAACGCTCTTTGCCCCATCACATCAGCAGTGTATAAAATGTGTACGTAAAACACTTCAGAGCGAGTCATACTAGACATCTGAAATATTTTACTGGAGCCATTCCTTCATTCATTCCCTATACGTTTATTGATTTTTTAAAAATATTCTTAAAATCAGTAATTTAAAGTGAGACACTTGTAATATGTTCTGTAAATAGGAAAACAGGATGACACGAGAGAAAATAACAGAGGTGCGTAATATAGACTCAGCTCTGGTGGGACAGACACTGGGTCAGAGGGTTCTTTCTTAAGGAAACAACCTTAAACTGAGGCCCAGACCAGAAGCAGGACTCAGCCAGGATGGAAGGAAGCAGGAGAGGTGAGAATTCACACGGAAACAGCATTTACAGTGAACCACGCGAGGAGGCCGGAGAGATTTTCCTAATGTGCTCCTGGTTTTCCACTGGTTTCTGACCACCTGTAAGAGGCTGTCCTTCCCATCGGCACAAACACATTTGTAGTTTGTTTCAAGAAAGTAAGTGCGCGTGAAGCCAGGGGTGTAGGGTGATGGCTTGTGAACCCCACTCTGTAAAAGTTCAGCAGAATGTTTAACTAGGGGGTAGTTTCTTAGTCTTTATTAGCGGCTTCATTGAGCTTTTTGATGAGCAGATGAAAGGGGAAAAGTAGAAGCACACATGTTTATTTTTGAAAATATGAGATAATACATTTGTACCCCAAGGTTAGTGGCCACAGGAGCTGACTATTTCAGGGGCTGCATCATTTCATTGTAATACAGGATTTTTTCCCTGAGATTTTCATTTCCCAAAGACAGTACAGAACTTCTTCCGGATATTCCAAGCATTTAAACAGTCAGTTAAAATAGCGTGCCATTCCTCAAGTAGGGTACCTTTCTGCACTTGTTTAAATTTTTAGGTTTAGACTACATCATACCTCTGATAAAAACCCTGAGAACTGTCACTGCGTTACGATTCACTCTTGAGAAATCAGGGCTAATTCCTAGTTTCTGACCTCAGCAGGTATCTTAGGATCTTCAAGCCAACTGGAGTGTGGTTTACAAAGACTACTCATTCTCAAGACTCTTGATGTGAACGTGGCACTCATCACCCATTCCCATTCCACATTTATAAGCAATAACTAAGGTTTGAGATGAGCTTGGCTCTAGGAAGACAGGATGGCCATATTTTGGAATGCGCAGGCGATCCTTGAAATTTAATTTAACTTACGTATGGGATGTAGGTAATCCACGCGCCCCCTCACATGGCACGCACAGCACTTCCTCAGTCTCCCCTCGGGCCTCTGTGGACACGCACCCTTGCCAGGCACAAGCACAGACAGGGGACCGTCAACAGGGAAGGTCGGCTTCGCGCTGGGTGTGTTTGCAGACCTGTTGCCGCCTCTCCAGAGGTGATCGTGTCGCTGCGGAAGATGAGTTTCCTGTTTCCCTAGGTTCGTTTTCTTCCTGCGAGGCAGCAGCTCTGTCTCGCCGAGCTCCAGGCACGTCCCCACGGAGACCTTGAACTTGGGGGTACTGAGTCTTGGGGCGACGGCACACAGTGTAGGAGCCTGAGCGAGATGTGCGCCTCACGTACAGTTCTTGCCGCTTGAGCAAAGCCTCGAACGGTCTCGCGATCCGGAAGCCCAGGCTGGCAGTAGTTCCCGGGGTGTTGGGACTGGCTCGCACCCCTCCCCCAGCGAGTGTGCCCCCGTCACTGAGCCACGGGGGAGCTGGAAGAGTGGCAGTGCCAGGGGAGGGGAATGTTCACGCCACCAGCCAATGCTGCCCAACAGGTGCTTTGCGGGGCTGCGGGCAGGGTGGGCGGAGGAGGGAGTCGGCTGTTAAGCCTGCACCGGCACAGCGCTCAGGAGGTCACACCCCAGAGGGTCTTGTGAAGCTATAGCTCCTACCTGGGATGGCTTCCTGTAGAAGGCAAGTGCGAAGCAAGTGCGAAGCAAGTGCGAAGCAAGTGCGAAGCAAGTGCGAAGCAAGCGCTCAGTTCCTTTCTTCGTCTCCCCTTTTCGGTTCTTGTTTTTCCCAGACAAGTTTTCATCAACCTTTCAGACCTCTTCACCATGCTTTGATTTCTTGTTTGTTTGAAGGCATTTGTTACTTTGATTTCAACCCAGAGGAAAGCATGTAGATCACCTGGACAAGTTGCTGATTTTCTGAGGAAGGCTGTAGCACAGAGAGGTTGAATGAGTAATCCAAGCTTGCACAGCTCTTGGTGACTCTTGAAGAGGTTGTCGGTCTGAACCAAGGCATCGGACTCCCAGCGCAGCAATGTTTTCACTCCCCTAGGCCACGCCTCCGCCTATGCTGATGTGATTATTTAGCTGCACCCAAAAATCATATTAGCAAAATCATAAATAATTGAAAAAAGGTACCAGTTAACTCCCCCAAATAAAACTTTTCACTTGTGATCTACACACACATGTTTAACTATGTATAACAGTAGCATAATTTTTACGTTCTGCACTGTTTTGGTTCATATCAGATACCAGGGTTTAAAATGACTTTAAACATTTTCTTAATGGAATTCTTTTTAGCTTTCAGGAAGAGTTCTTGCTTGAAGACAAAGAACCGCTTGCTAACCACAAAAGAGGAATCGATGCTCAGCTTTTAGCTGCCCTCCCTAAAGGTGAGGCTTCTAGATGGTTGACAAGTGTACAGCGCATATAAGTGTCGTGTGACCTGACTTTCTTGCAGGAGGCCCCTACGCTAACCTCCAGCTCTGCTCTCCTCTGTGCACCTTTCTGTCTCTTCCAGGAATCAACCTCAAAGTACCTCTCTTGTTGCGTGGTTAGACCTCACCTTTCCACAAGTTCCCTCCTTTCACTTCAGGCATCCTCAGGTTTTCACTGGAGGCTGGTGCAGAGGATGAGAGAGGGCTTCTAGAATCAGCCTCGCCTCATCTCTCTCCTACCTTTCGCCTTCTCCACGGGTGGTGGGTTCCACTCATTTGCCCATTTCTTCTCCACCCCTTCCCACTGCTTCCAGCCCCTGACGCTTTCCAGTGCTAGGAAAGGCACTTACACTTGATATCTTTCAGCTCCCAACTGGGGTACACACTGGGCAAGCAGTGCAGACTGCATCGGAAACATCTCTCTGCTCACCCAAGTAGGTACTCACACGTTTGGCGAATTCGTATTTTCATTGGGTTAGACGCATATGCAGTCACATACGTGCATCAGCCACCAGCCCACTGTGCCTGGTTCTGCCCGTGAGATGCTGTGAACGTTACCTGAACTTCGTTTCTACCAAATGTAACACTGACGCAGGGGAGTGCCAGCTCACAAGCTGTTTTCATCCCAGATGAGCTGTGTAACCCTTACTTCAGAGGAAACAGCTTTTCCAGCAATCCCACTCCTGGGCATATGCCCAGAAAAGAGGAAAACTCTAATTCAAAAAGATACCGGCACCCCTACGTTCATAGCAGCTCTATTTACAATCGCCAAGACATGGAAGTGACCTAAATGTCCATTGACAGAGGAATGGATAAAGAAGATGCAGTACATACATACAATGGAATATTACTCGACCATAAAAAAGAATGAAATAATGCTATTTGCAGTAACATGCCTGGACCTAGAGATTATCATACGAAGTGAAGTCAGACAGAGAAAGACAAATATCAGATATCGCTTATATGTGGAATCTAAACACTGATACAAATGAACTTATTTACAAAACAGACTCACAGACATAGAAAACAAACTTATGGTTACCAAAGGGGAAAGCAGGGGTGGGGGGGGGGGGATAAATTAGGAGTTTGGAGTTAACAGATACACCCTACTATATATGAAATAGATAAACAACAAGGACGTATAGCACAGGGAACTATATTCAGTATCTTGTAGTAACCTATGATAGAAAAGCGTCTGCAAAGTCATATATATATATGACTGAATCACTTTGCTGTACACCTGAAACATTGTAAATCAACTATACAACTATACTTCAATAAAAAATAAATTAAGAAAAGAAGAAACAGGTTTGGTGAAAAGTCATAATTTTTTTCTATTCTAAAAAAAAACCAAAACAAAAAAAAAAAAAAAAAGCAGCAACAAAACACATGAGATCAAGCCCAGAAGAAATTAGACCAGAAAAAAAATAGTCTTTTAACAGAAACGAAATCCAGTTTATACAGGCCCACTGGCAAATTTGCATGTATCATTAGGAACTGAGTGGGTCATATGCCCGGACACAGGGTGACAAAGATGGATACTTGAAGGACCCCAGCGATCTGGCCCGGTGGAAACAAACAGGGAAATTTTTCAGTTTTCAAGTACTTAACAACACTGTCAACTAAAATGGAGGCTTATTCTATGTTGCTCCGGAGGCCAAAGTAAGAAGAATGTCTAGAATTACAAGGAGGCGGGTGAAATTTTGTGGGAGAAGGAAAATTCTGATAGTCCACAGTACGTCGAAGTGAAATGCACTGCATTGTGATCTCATTCGTTCTGCATTAACTGTTCAAGTCAGGTCATAAGCCACGTAGTCAAGGGTAGGACAGATGCCGTGAAGGGTTCCCACCTGGAACCCCAAGTATGAAATGGAAAGGTCCTTCTGATTTTTTAAGACTGTTTGTGAAAGACAAACTCAATGTAATCTGAGCCAAATGTAAAAGTCTATGAAGACGATCAAAGCAAAGAATAAGAATGAACAACTTGATTTTAGCAATAGCTTAGACTTGACTGATTAGGGAAAGTTATATAAAGCTAAAGTTTTCCCTCTTCCTCTCTCCCCTGCCCCCAGTTCCTTGATGAATAATAGACAATATTAAGATCATAAAAATTAAGAACAGTATGAGAGCCTAGATTCCTTAAGGTTCAATGACTTGGAACTCCACATATATCAAAATTTTAAAATGCATAAGCTTATTAACCAGTTTAATTAAACATGTTACCATAATTGGTAATAAAAATCATGATTTTCACCAATCAAAGATCATTAACTTTATGTACTCACCAGATTTATGTTTCTAAATTAACAAGGCCTTTAAAACATGCTTTTAAAGTGTCAGAGTCCCTGTTCCCCTGAATTTCATCTAAATTCCCATAGTCTTATTTTACAGTCTTTACTGTTTATCAATTTGGGCAGGCGTGGTTGCAAAGACCCAGGTATAACCAGTGAACTTTCCACTTCCATGTTTGTTATTCTCTCGGTTCTTAGCAATAGCAGGTTAAAAGTAGGAATTGATTATGACTTTTAATGGCATGGAGTTTCATGTATGTTTATAAGTTTACAGAAGTCTCTTCCTGTTCATTTAGTGAGGGATTTTTGCTTCCGTGAAATTGAGCTCTAAAATGATCATTGATTTTTCTGTAAGGAACTTCCTTTAACTATGTATCACAAACAGGTAATCAAGGGATTAAGACCCTTTACCTGTGTAAAACTTATCATATTAAAATAGATTTTCCATTAAGGAATTACGAAATGGACCAAATATATGACTCTCCTTTTTTTTAACAGTTTCATTGAGACATAATTCCTATACCATACAATTCATCCATTTAAAGTGGGCAGTTCAGTGGCTTTTGGTAGAGTCACATAATCATGCATTGATCGGCAGAGTCAATTTTAGAACATTTTTATTTTCCCCAAAAAACCCCTTCTCTTAGCCATCAGGTCTCCCCCTCATTCCTCTAGGTGTGTGATGACTTATTTTAGAAGTTGCTGGTCTTTATATTAGTGGCTGCCATCCACATGTTAAAGTTAAAGGGGATTTACTCCTGGGGAAGAAAGAGAAGTGTTCAGAATATTCTGGATCTGGCCTATGGTATCAAATGCAGGCAGGGAGAGAGCTGTTCCTGGCAGTCCCCCTGCCACTTATACTTCTTTGGAAGATTCTGCTCTACTCAGGCTTGGGAGACTGAACTCAACAATAACTTTACCAGAAAGCCTGTCCTCAGAACTAACTGAAGAAACCATGTTTCCTAAAAAAAGCACCTAACAGAACCAATTATCCTGAGTATTGGTATTATATAATTACAAAGTATATGAGGCAGTTAAATATTTTTTATAAAGTATTATAGCCCTGATGTCAAAGTCCCTTAAATTGCCTTACTTGGAAAATGACCAACACAAGGCCCAGCAGAAATAACTGAAGAACTAGACTCACAGAATCCATATTGTTAGACAAGGGCAGCAGACTAAAATCACAGGTATAAAGGGTAAAAGTCTCGATGCACTTGAAAGCAAAGTAGAAAATTTGTTACAACAGAAGTTAGATCAGCTGTGCTAGTTTCTGTCTGGATTTATGTTGATGAATATCACTGTTTTCTGAACCATGTTTTAGTTATATACATATGACACAGCATACCATCAATTGAATTATGGCTTTTGCATCTAATTTTTAAAAAGTCCTTATTCCTTGTTTTGAGGAAATAGACACTGAAAAATTTAGAGGTAAAAAGGGCATCAGGCTGCAACCTACTCTTAAATGATTCAGAAAGATTAATATGTAAATATGTGCATTTGTACGCATGTGTATATACACAAAAATATACATATGGAGAAAAAGAGGGTCAAAAACTCAATCAAATGTAGTGACAAATGTTAACGTATGAAAGATGTCTTTTAATTTTTCTGAGTCTGAAATTATATAAAAATTTTAAAGGAAGGAAACCTTTTGGGAGATTATAAATAATAATAAACTATATTCAGGACTGGCAGAAGATAACAATGATAGAAGAGTCCGTGGTCTCTATACCTGATCCATGGAGTGATGACATGTTTCCACAGTCGGGGCAATTCCCATGATTTTTTAGTATTAGCTTCTTTTCCAGTGTTTTATAATAAATCCAACCAAAACTCGGGAGGTGGGGTGCCTAATAAGGACCGCACGTGCCCGTATGAAGGTGTTCTGTTTCCTGGAAAGGAATGAAAAAAGTGCACACACACATCAGCCATTGAAATAAAGCACCCTCCTCTTTTATACAACCGACATGTTTTCACATGGAATAGGTGTACCGGAGTGATTATGTTACATGTGTGTTTACTAAGTTTGCTTTTAAATGGTAGACTTGGAGAAGGGAAACCAAACTCCAGATGTCTCTCTCTTCCTTCTTTTTGCCTTCCACACCATTTCTTTTCTCTGTTGTCTCGTGTCTGTAGCAGTGAGGCAGGTCTTGGTCCTCAAGAATTAATTTGTTAGAAAGAATATAGACGGAGAGGTAACTTATTTACTGGAGGGATGTTTTTATTTTCCTAGAAGACTCACTGTAGATTTCCACGAAGAATTAACAAGCTCACGGGCCCATTTAAAGTATAGCTTGGTTTATGACCTTATTTTGTTCCCCAGTAAATGATCAGGGACACTGCTCTAAGCCACACTTCCTCCAAAGGCAGGAGGTACCATGATCACCAAACCCTTGCCTTTTACACCAAACGCGAGAAGCCAGACGCCCACCCCCAGCTACTGGTGCCTGTGAAGGCCACTGGACAGACAGACTTGTGAAGCCAACTGTCCTTTGAAAACAGTCAATCCAGCTAACTGTTCAGGTGGCCGTCATTTAAAAACAAGTTAATAAATAGAAAGATGGCTGGTATCTCTGAACACAGTCAAAGCACAGTATAAAAGTCGTGTGTGCACGCACATGTGAGGTTTTGACTCACTACTAAAAATAACCACTTAGGGACTTCCCTGGCGGTCCAGTGCTTAGGATTCGGGGCTCTCACTGCCGTGGATTGGATTCAGCCCCTGGTCGGGGAACTGAGATCCCACAAGCCACGCGGCAGAGCCAAAAATAAAAATAACCGCTTAAAGAAATCCAATGGAAATTGAAGCAGCTGAAAATTAAATTCTGTGCATTCATACCCTATCCTGTGAGTTTCTGCTTTGACTCAGCCTTGCAAATGTTTCGTGGGCCCCAGGGCTGTCACAGCTCTCTGTTCCTAGGACCTCAGTGGGAGCTGGTCAGACGAGCCCTTATGAATTCACGTGATTGAGGAGGACACGAGGAGAGAGACCTCGATTCTCTGCCAAGTTTGGCCATTTCTCCAGAGAAACCATTGGCCTCTCAGTGCGATATCTTTGTGGCCAGTGTCACGGGAGACCCTCGCAGCATCAGTAGGATGCTCGTCTGATCTCCCGGCGTTGCCGGGAGAGTAGGGGTCATTACATTTTCCATCGTCCACCTGAATTACAGCCAGGAAGCAAATGTTAAGATTTCCTTCCAGGGAAAGCCTGTAAGGGGAGGCATAGGAACTGGGTTAATCTAAACTGTAGTTGATCAAGGTGTGCAGTCATGCACCGTTAGAAACCCCACCAGGTAGTTACAGATCTTTGCAGGTCAGTGATGGGTGACGTAGGAGTGGTGTGAGCTCCTGACTGGTGGGGCTTGCTGGTGGCACATGGGGGTTCATAGTACTTTAGTCTCTACTTTTGCACGTTCGCAGTTTTGCACGATGGAAAGCTTGAACTACTGTGCTAAACCTAATAAAACTGAAAAACAGGTAGTGAGATTTGTGCTGGCTAGAGAGAGATTCAGGGCTAGGCTTCCTCTGGCTCCCCTGGATGGAATAAAACTCACTCTTATTACTCCATGGTTCTACTTCTTAGACCAGCCTGTGACGTGTGTGTGTGTGTGTGTGTGTGTGTGTGTGTGTGTGTGTGTACACGTATTCATCTGGCATCTGCCTCCCCCTCTTATAAGACAGTCTGCAGGAACTGTGTCCGTTTTGTGTATCACTGTTGCATGGGAGCCATGAACAGAAGCATGAGTTCCATAAATAGATGTTGCATGAATGAATGAATGAATAAAATGAACGCATGACGACTAAATACTGGACTACCTTTTTCTTCTTTATTGTCTCATTTTAGTTGCAGAATTAAGAAAACTCTTTGAACCAAAGAGGAAAGAATTTTCAGACATGAAAAGGTAAGGCGTTCGTTGTACATAATTAGGAAGTAGAAGAGTTTGCAAAGCAGTGTCCAGTGTTGCCTGAGAACTGATGTCCGTGGCTCACCACGCCTTTGCTGGTGTCTTGCACAGAAAAGAAAGAATTGCCAGGCGCCTAGAAGGAATCGAAACCGACACGCAGCCCATCCTCTTGCAGAGCTGCACGGGCTTAGTGAGCCATCATCTGTTGGAGGAGGACCTGCCCAGATACACGCGCGCCACAGACCCAGCCAGTCCTCACGTCGGTGAGCTTGTGGCCCGGTGGCCCGTCATCAGCCTTTTCTATCCAGCACTCCTGGAAAATGAGATGTTCCAAGAGCATGAATTGTGTAGATGTAAAATGTGTATTAAATCTGTGGGTTTGTTCAAACCAGCAGCAACACCTGTGTCAGCTCTGCCACACGCCCCAGGTGTGGTCCTCCAGTGTCACAGCAGTGAGAAATGACCCCCCAGTTGGTTAACTGATGCCCAGTCATTTGTCTCCCGCACCTCCACTCCCCACACACACCGCCCCAGACCATCCCAGGGCAGGAACTGTGTCTCTCTCTCCACCCGCTTAGGGCCCCAGCTGTCAGAGACCCTCAGGTTTGTTTGGGAAAGGGCTAAGACAGGCATCTCTTACAGTAGGTTTAAATAGAATGCCCAGATGCCCAGCACAGGACAGCGTTGCTCTCGGCAGGGAGCCTGGAAGAGCAAAGCTGGACCTCGAATGACTGGGGCTCTTACCCTGTGTGTTTATGCAACAAGCATCCTATTTAAGTTATTTTAATAGGTGTAATTTTAAATGCATTGTGTATCTATTTCATGTTAAACAGCATGTCAGACATGACAGCTTTTCCTTGGTTACTCAGACGTTGCTGTAGCATCAGATAATCCACGTGACCTCGGGAGAGGGTGACGCGCGTGGGGCTGCCCTTCCTGCCCTCCCCGTCCCTGGCTCTGCGGCTCTGTGGCTCTGTGTTGCTTCTCTTATATCCGGTGTTTTCTGGTTCCTTCGTCAGAGAGAGATGCTGGTCTCCCTTCGTGATGTGATAAGTTTGCCTGTCTCTACAGTTTCTTGTTTTCTGTGGTCAGAAAACTAGAGAACTAAGATTCTTTTTTACATACGTGAAGAAGCAAGAGTAGACAGGGTACCGAGATATATGGCCAGAAATAAACCCCAGTGTATATAACGTGTTAATCCATGTATTATATGATCATTGAAGCATCACGTTAGTAAGAAAAGGAAGAATTATTTAATAAACTGGTAATGGGAGAAATGGGATAGCAGTGGGGAGGAGCTATGCCCCCTCCTCACTATCTACCCAAAACAAAAATAAGGTCCAATTAACCACATGATTAATTTTAAGAGAATAATTAAAAACACGAAAACAAGGGGGAGTATTTAGTTCCAGCTGAATGGAAAAGGACTTTCAAAACACTGAAACAGCTGTAGAAATCACCAATGACCAGGTCAATTGACTTGACTACATAATAATTAACATCTGTGCTTCAAAGAAAATCTTTGACTTCACAAAAAATTAAGGAAGTTTAAAAATATCCGTGAAGAAGATAAAGAGCTCATATTCCTATAAAATTTTACACAAAACAATAAAAATGACACTGTGAATCAAAAGAATATAGAGCAGTAAGCTTGACCAGATATTCCAGAGAAGAGAAAGATAATGATACAAATGGCTACTAAATAATTGAAAAATGCATGCATCCTCTTTTTCTAGTAATCAAAGGCAATTTTTTATTTAATTAAAAAAATTTTTTTTGAGAAACAGGACATCATGATAAACATTTTTAAAAATGTGGAACTGGGCTTCCCTGGTGGCGCAGTGGTTGAGAGTCCGCCTGCCAATGCAGGGGACACGGGTTCGTGCCCCGGTCCGGGAGGATCCCACATGCCGCGGAGCAGCTGGGCCCATGAGCCATGGCCGCTGAGCCTGCGCGTCCGGAGCCTGTGCTCCGCAGCGGGAGAGGCTACAGCAGTGAGAGGCCCGTGTACCGCAAAAAAAAAAAGTGGAACTATTTATATAAATCCAAAATAGAGATATAAAAATGAAGTACGACAGATACAGATAGATAATAAATTATTTGATAGTCTCATGTATAGTTTTATATATTACGTATGTGCTTTCTTAAATTTTTTAATTGAAGTATAGTTGATTTAAAATGTTGTGTTAATTTCTGCTGTACAGCAAAGTGATTCAGTTATACATATGCATACATTCTATTTCATATTCTCAAAGGCGAGTTTTAAAATTAACATTCGGTGTTAGTGAGAGCATACATTGCAGGTTCCAGTGTAAATCGATTCAAGCGCTACAAAAATTAATTTGACAGTCTAGCACGTGTCTTAGAATGATGTACCTACTGATAAAGCAATTCCACTTTCATGCAACTATCTTTTGTAATAGTAATCAGAAAATAAGATGGATTAAAAGTTAGAGTCAACTTCAGTGCCCAGAAATATGAGAATGGTTAAATTGATTCTGGAATGCCTATAGTGTGAAATATTATGAAGCCTTAAAATGATGTCTTCAAAATAAGATTTCCACACTTAGAAAAATGTTTTATGCAGGACATTAAGGTTACATAAAATATGAGTTCTTTTATATAGAAAAAAAGAAGAAATCACATATATAAAAGACTAGAAAGAGTATATAGAAAAGTTTAGCAAATTACCCATTTATTTATTACTGATTATTGTATGTTAGTGATTATTGGTGATTTGGGGGTTAACCTTCCTGTAGACCTTTTCTACATCAAGCATGCAGAGTATAATTGGAAAAAGCCACTTCTGTTAAAAAAAAACAAAACGAAAACCACAGCCACACCTGGCGGATGTTGACATGGACCATTATTGTTATGGTTACCATGAGATCCTGTGTGGTTTCCCATGAAAGCACTATCCATCACTCGTCAAATTACAGCAGTTCGAATATCTGTTATCTTTTCTAGAGGAGTCTGAACTCGTCCTCTGGCCTCACACATGAAACATTAAACTCAAAAGCAGAAAAGTAAATAAGGGGAAATAGGCACTGAACTAGAGCGAGGGCTGTCGGGACTGAGCTGTAGCTGCGGCCATGCTTGACCCAGCTTATGCAGCCCATAGAACGTCACAGCCTTTATGTATTTCACTGCAGACCTCAAACTTCTTCAGCATCCCAGGTAAATCATTTTAGGCAGCTGCACGTAAGTGAGAAATTGGACCTTCACAGCCTGGGCGCTCGGAGCATATCGTGTACGGAACAGAGTAGAATAACCACATTTTATTATTTGCTTGAAACCTGTGTGTGTGATCTTCTTGTAGGCCAATCAAATGAAGAGGAAGAAACTTTGGATTCTTCCTTAGAAAAGCAGACTCGATCCAAACACTGCACAGAATCCTCGGGCATCCATGGTGACTCCCCCTACGGTTCCAGCATCATGGACACCCAGAGCCTAGAATCCAAAGCCGAAAGGATCGCCAGATACAAAGCAGAGAGGAGACGGCAGCTGGCAGAAAAGTATGGGCTCACCCTGGACCCGGAAGGCGACGCCGAATCTCCATCTCGGTACAGCAAGTCCAGGAAGGACCCTGAGACTGCTGAGAAAAGGGGAGGGAAAAGTGACCGCTCTGCTGAGTTCAGCAAAGATTCGGGCGCTTCCTACTCCCGGACCGAGATCCCGGGGCTCAGGAGCTGCGTGGCTGGGTCCAAGGACCATGCCCTCCACCGGCGCGCTGGTGTTTCCGACACAGAGGTGCTGCTCAACGTAGAAAACCAAAGACGAGGTCAAGAGCCCAGTGCCACCGGGCCAGCCCAAGACCTGCCCCCCGCGGGGGACGGCTCCGCATCCTTCCCATTCTCCGAGCGAGACTGCGCCCTCGGTGAAGTGCCAAGGTCCCCAAAGCCAATGCACAGCCTGCCCAGCCCGTCACCTGGGCAGCCAGCCTCTCCGAGCCACTCCACAGGTGACCTGCCACTCCCTGCCGAGGCTCGAGCCAGGTAAGTGCTGACCTGCGGACACCTGCGTCCCCTCTGCCGCTGCTGTGTCTGGGATCTGGGGGTCCTCAGCGCTCTGCGGAAGTCTGGGCTCACCGCAGAAATAATGCGATTTATGGTTTTTTAATTTCCGCAGTCTCAACACAGGTTCTACGGAAGCAGAAAGCTTCCTGGTCTTTTTGATTTATATAATTCTTGGTGTGTTCTTTTTTAAAAGAATAAATTGAACAGGTGTCATGGGGACACACTTTCAGGACCTTTTTCTTTTTTTAACATCTTTATTGGAGTATAATTGCTTTACCATGGTGTGTTAGTTGCCGCTGTGTAACAAAGTGAATCAGCTTTACGTACACATATATCCCCATATCTCCTCCCTCTTGCGTCTCCCTCCCTCCCTCCCTACCCCACCCCTCTAGGTGGACACAAAACACTGAGCTGATCTCCCTGTGCTATGCGGCTGCTTCCCACTAGCTATCTAGTTTACATTTTGTAGTGTATATATGTCAATTCTACTCTCTCACTTCGTCCCAGCTTACCCTTCCCCCTCCCCGTGCCCTCAAGTCCATTCTCTATGTCATATGTTCCTATTATCATTTTCTTAACTGTTTTGGGTTTATTATTGTAGGTCTTTTCCTTCTCTTGTGTTTCCTGCCTAGAGAAGTTCCCTTGGCATTTGTTGTAAAGCTGGTTTGGTGGTGCTGAATTCTCTTAGCTTTTGCTTGTCGGTAAAGGTTTTAATTTCTCTGTCAAATCTGAATGAGATTCATGCTGGGTAGAGTAATCTTGGTTGTAGGTTTTTCCCCTTCATCACTTTAAATATGTCCTGCCACCCCCTTCTGGCTTGCAGAGTTTCTGCTGAAAGATCAGCTGTTAACCTTATGGGGATTCCCTTATACATCATTTGTTGCTTTTCCCTTGCTGCTTTTAATATTTTTTCTTTGTATTTAATTTTTGATAGTTTGATTAATGTGTGTCTTGGCGTGTTTCTCCTTGGATTTATCCTGTATGGGACTCTCTGCACTTCCTGGACTTGATTGACTATTTCCTTTCCCATATTAGGGAAGTTTTCAACTATAATCTCTTCAAATATTTTCTCAGTCCCTTTCTTTTTCTCTTCTTCTTCTGGGACCCCTATAATTTGAATGTTGGTGCGTTTAATGTTGTCCCAGAGGTCTCTGAGACTGTCCTCCATTCTTTTCATTCTTTTTTCTTTATTCTGCTCTGCAATATTTCCACTATTTTATCGTCCAGGTCACTTATCCGTTCTTCTGCCTCAGTTATTCTACTATTGAACCCTTCTAGAGTATTTTTCAATTTCATTTGTTGTGTTGTTCATCATTGTTTGTTTCATCTTTAGTTCTTCTAGGTGCTTGTTAACTGTTTCTTGCATTTTGTCTATTCTATTTCCAAGATTTTGGATCATCTTTACTATCATTATTCTGAATTCTTTTTCAGGTAGACTGCCTATTTCCTCTTCATTTGTTTGGTCTGGTGGGTTTTTACCTTGCTCCTTCATCTGCTGTGTGTTTTTCTGTCTTCTCATTTTGCTTATCTTACTGTGTTTGGGGTCTCCTTTTTGCAGGCTGTAGGTTCGTAGGTCCCGTTGTTTTTGGTGTCTGTCCCCAGTGGCTAAGGTTGGTTCAGTGGGTTGTGTAGGCTTCCTGGTGGAGGGGACTAGTGCCTGTATTCTGGTGGATGAAGCTGGATCTTGTCTTTCTGGTGGGCAGGTCCACTTCTGGTGGTGTTTTTTGGCGTGTCTGTGACCTTATTATGATTTTAGGCAGCTTCTATGCTAATGAGTGGGGTTGTGTTCCTGTCTTGCTAGTTGTTTGGCATGGGGTGTCCAGCACTGGAGCTTGCTGGTCGTTGGGTGGAGCTGGGTCTTAGTGTTGAGACAGAGATCTCTAGGAGCGCTCTCACCTATTGATATTACATGGAGCTGGGAGGTCTCTAGTGGTCCAATGTCCTGAACTCCTCCCACCTCAGAGGCTCAGGCCTGACACCCGGCCAGAGCACCAAGACCCTGTCAGCCCCACGGCCGGTATGTGGGGAGTTTCTTGCCTTTTGGGAAGTGTGAGGTCTTAGATGTTCTGTAGGAGTTGTTCCACATGTAGAAGTATTTTTGATGTATTTGTGGGGATTGCCACGTCTCACTCCTCCACCATCTTGAAGGTCCTCCTCATGACCTTTCTTCTTACTGTGTTTCTCGCTCGCCTTTAACAACTGTCTTTTTCTTTGTTTTTCTGTGGTCATACCCAAGACTTTGGGGCGATTGTTTTTGTTGCAGTCATTTAAAGTCACCAAGCAGAAGGACACCACTAACCAATTTCCACTGGGTCTCAGTTTAGGGTATGAAGTGTGACTGTAATATACGCTGAATATAACTGTAACATATGTTTTGTAAGTATATTGGCACGCTAAGAAAACAGCTGTGTATACGAGCACCTCATTGAAAAGATCAGCCAGTAGGAGAAATCGCTGTGTCATAGGGTCAACCTGTGGAAAATCAGAAAAGGAATAAAATCAAAAAGTCAGATGCCAGAGAGGATATGTGTTTCTTTCTCAATTTAAATATCTAAATTTAAATTTAAGTTCAGTTTAGATATTTAAATCTAATAAGTGTGATGACCAATTAAAATGCAATCTACTTAAACATCCTACATAACGGTTTGGGATAATTGTCTAGACAGACTCCGACATGTATTTTTTCAGTTCAAACAGGCATTAGCTTTGCAGATGAATTGAGGAAGGATGAGAACCCGAGATAAAGCAAATTTATTCTGGAAGAAAAAAAAGGATGTTGGAAAATACTCCTGTTTATTCCACATTGGAACGGAGCAGTAAATATGGTCGTCTTCATATGGCAGTTGTATATCTAAAGCAGCTTATTTTAGTTATTGAAGTATGTTGACCTCAAGACCTGTCACCACTTGCTTGATCATCTATACTAGAATATTTAGGGATATTAGTTTCTAAGAGAATTCAATAGTATGGATCCTGATTGTATTTTGAGGGCCTTTGTTCAGCCTTCGAACTTAACTGCTTAAAATTTAGGGACCTATTGTCTCGTACTTTGAAAGGGAAGTCTGTTGTTTGGGAAATTTGCTTTTCGTAGAAGAAGCAGTGTTTTGGCGTTAGTTACGCTCTGTCAAAGCAAACTCTTCATGGGCTGTGTGAGCAGGACAGACAAACTTAACATCGCAGTTTTGATTACATGGGTTAAAAAATAATGAGGAATCTAATTTCTGAGTGCCATATCATGAAAACTGTTTATTATCATGGTGTCTAGGTTAACCGTCTAGATCACATATAGTAGATGAGATTTTGAAGCAGTTGTAATAATAATTAAAACCATGTTGAGTATTCCAGGTAAAATGACAGGATTCTTAATAGTTCTCTGTGAGTTAAAATCTCAATATTCAAAAATATATATCACTTAAAATCTCAAGAGCCCATTTCCTTCTAGATTATTTGAAGAGGCATGTTACCTGGAAATTTTCGTAAGCCTTAGCCTGACAGCACCTTACTTTCATGGAAGAAAGGCTTAAAAGTATTGAGAAATTGTAAAGGAGTTCACATGCTTGTAAAGGAGTTCACAAGGAAGCATGTGCCTTATTTTTTTTGAAGCCACTCAAGGCATACAATTCCATGACTTACAGGCAGAGAAACACAAATCACTTCATACACATAAGGAAAATACCTCAGATGTATTTACATTAAAAAAGGATGGAAAACAATGCGTGACAGGTATGATGTTAATAGCATTGGGATTTATTTGGCAATGATTCTATTTATTCACCTTTTAAAGATGGATTTAAATGGATGAACATTCTGCTAGTTGTCCTTCCTCTAGAGCCAGGAAATTCAGGTGTCAGAAGGTCATTGTTGTCTCTCTTCCATCTGGGGAGAAGAAAGACAAAAATTACTTTGTGAACTAAAACAGTAACCAAAGAACCCTCGGTGACCCAGTAACCATAAGTGAAGGTAAGATGGTGTCTGACCTGGAAATATGTGACAGAGAAGTTTAGAAGATTAAGGAATGACCAAAACTAATTATCTACAAATAACAAAACAATCGAATACCATACTTAATCATGGATTTGTCCTATCGCTGAAATGGAGTATTTTTCTCACTGCTGTATTTTACTCTTTCATCACCTAGCTCTACCAGGATTTGGAAGTATTCATCTCTGAATTAAGTCATTCCCATTCCATCGTTTCATTTTGTGCTCATGAGAAAGAGGCTCTTTTTGTTTCATTAATTAAATAGGAATACATCACTCATGAACTATAACATCAAAAGGCTGCCCGTGGTGTCCTGAATTTCAAATGTGAGCCAGATATCGAGTGCATAGTTTTTGTATATTCTCATATGTGCTAATGCAGAAACGTATGTACACACGGGATAATCATTAGTCCTTACACTGTGCTATACTGTTTTTAAGCATTATAAGCTCAGTAACAATCTCTAGGGCAATGTTTAGCTGAGTAGTAAGTTTATTTTAGAATTATTTAACGTTCAGTTTATATGGTAAAGGACGTATGTATGTGTATGTGTGTATGTGTATGTATGTATGTGTATGTATGTTAGTCACAGGGTCTTCAGTTCAGAAACCCTGTTAGTTTCCCAGGAAGTCGGGTGAAAACATTGTTCTGTAGCAAACTAAGAATGTACATAGTAACAGAGCAGTATATATACACCACATCATATATGCGTGTGCGTGTGTGTGTGTGTGTATATATGCTACATTATATCAGTAATAGAGCATAAAACACCTCCCAACCGCCATTCCCCCAATCCTGCCAAATCCTGTTAAGTCTGGGATTTCAGGAACTATGTTTTCTGACGAGGTGGTGTTACTGATACGAACCATTCTTTTGTTACTTCAGCCACTGTGAATTTTAGAATAAAATTCAAAGGGATCGGGGGCCTATGAATTATTATTCAAAAATTTAAAAATCTGAGCTCTATTAGAAATCCTAAATTCAAAGCTCTTGTTGAA